TGCCCCGCAGCGGGTAGGCCGTGGGGCAAGTCCTGCTAACCCCACCGCCCCGTCAGCCCCACCGCCCCGCCCGCAGCGCCCGGAGAGGAACCGGGGGGTTCATCCCTGAGCAGCCCCAAGGGTCTTCGTGCGTGGGAATTCGGTGGGGTGGGAATTGGGCACCTGGTTTTTCCTCTTGCTGCGGGTGCGTTTGCTGGCGCCATGCTGGGGGGGATGCCTGGGGTCTGGGCAACGGGAGAGGGATGGGGGGAGCAGGAGGGATGGAGTCGGCGTCCCCCGGATGGGGAACGGACCCTGACGCCATGCCTCTGCCTAGGCTTGGCCGCGGCAGCATGGGGGGGACGCAGTCGCTGGCGCTGCCCCTGGGGAAGGGACCTCACCTCGTGGGCTGCACGGACGTCATGGTGGGCCACACACGGCAGGTACGGGACGGGGACAGGGATGGGGACGGGGACAGGCTTCTACGCACAGCAGGGTGGCTGCAGCCAGCTGGGATTTGCAAAGGCTGAGCTCACCGAGGACACGGCCACCGCTGCTCTGCACAGTCCCCGCCGTGTCCCCTGTTCCCCTCTCTCCTGCAGGGGCTCTTCCTCCGCCTCTTCTACCCCTGCCTGCCCCGGGCAGGGGCCGAGCGGCCACTCTGGATCCCACGCTACGAGTACTGTGGCGGGCTGGCCGACTTCGCCCACCGCAGCCGGCGCTGGTGCGCACCCCTGCTCAGCGTCACCGTTGGTAAGGGGGTGGCCAGCACCCTGTCCCCCATCCCGGGTGCTCCCCCGTCCCCTGGGCATCCGCTCCCTTAGCGGGGTTCAGGGACACCAAGCCCGTCCCATCTGCGCTCAGGGGAGCTGGGTGGCAGGGATGGCGCCGAGCAGGGACCCGCTGCAGCAGCAGTGTCCCAGTGCCGTCTCCCGCCTTTTCCTGGGGGTTTCCCTTCCCCACAGGCTCCTGCAGAGTGCCGGTGAGCTGGAACGGGCCTTTCAAGCCCTGCAGCAGCGGGTACCCACTCATCATCTTCTCCCACGGCCTGGGAGCCTTTCGGTAGGACGGTCCCCGAGCAGGACTGGGGGTGCTGAGCCCCTGCTCAGGGCTGGAGCCAGGATGGGGACCCGGGTGTCCTGGGCCCCCCGGGGCGCCGCTCGGACCTGCCTTGCGCTGGCGGGGCAGCCCTGACCCCGCTCCCCCCGGCTCCCTGGCAGCACCCTGTACTCCTCGGTCTGCTCGGAGCTGGCGTCCTGGGGCTTCGCAGTGGCGGTGCTGGAGCACAGGTGGGT